TTCAATAATACTTTTCAAATTCTTTTTTATTTTTTTTAATTTAGAAAATCACTGACAAAATATTTTTTATTTTTAATCAAAATATATCTCATCAATAATTTTTCTTAAATGTAGGTACTTTTTTAGTATATTTGTTTCATTTTGTATATGTAAATAATTTTTTGATTCAAAAAATGTTTAGAGACTTAATCGCAAAAATATGAAAATTCATTGATTTTTTTCCAGGTTTTTTCCCTTATTTTATCACATTAATTAATTTTATAGGTCATAAGGATGTATGGTTTTAAAAAGTCCAAGAATTTATTTAACATGTTTTGGAATGTCCAATGACTTATTTGTTCTAAAAAATTGTCCAAGGACTTAATCATTCCAAACAATAAAGTTCATTGGGTTTTTAGACTTTTCCCTAAAATTAAATAAAAAAACGGATTTTTCCTATTTGTCGAAAATAGTTTGCATAATTTTCATGAATTGAGTAGTATGCAACGTAACCCGCCTCTCTCTCTCTCTCTATAAATATATATATATATATATATATATATATACATATGAGATCGTGTGAGAATAAAAGTTATGGTGAAAAATGTCGGAACAAAACTTCCATCTATCTTCAATTTCCTTCAAAAAATTCATTCATGTGAAAATGATTGAAGGTATGTAAAAGTTCATGAAGGTGAGTGAAAGAAAAGATTATGCTTGATGAAGATAGTTGAAAGTCTCTGTTTCTTGTCGACATTTAATTGATGGTGATTCAAGGTTCACGTTTTTTTAGACGTTTAATTAGTAATTACTATTCTCATGGAAACCAACCCTATATATACATAGACGGAGGTTCAAACGGGACAAATCAAAATACAAAAACATGAGAACATATTTCTACCGTAAGATGAGTTGATCCAATAGATCAATAGTAAAGGTGGTTACAACCATTATTCTGTAAAACAAAAAAATCCCCTCATTTTTTATCGATATCAGCTAAATACAACAAAAATTGTAGCCAATCAATTGGCCAAATTAAGTAGTAACTTAAAAGAAAATGACATTCAAATAAGATTTATATAAATACAATCCAAAATCACGAACATAACAATCTCAAACGTAATTACATCGAAGCTTAAAGTTCACCAAATGTTGAAACAAGATTAAACTACCTAATTAAACGATAAATTAACTAATGAATACAAAAAGGTAACCCTAATGACTCCAAAATCCTTCTCCTTGCTGCAGAAGGTTGTACGTAATCAAATGGTGGTTTCTGAATCATTTTCTACCAAAACAGTGGAAAAACAGGTCAAGAATGCAGATTTCACGAATTTGGTCCCTACAATCCTCGATCGCGACCTAAGTCACAAACTTCCTCTTCCTTTCCAAATCGCATGTGAATGTATCCCTCACAGGTAACTTACATATAACAGACATCGTAAACCCACAATACATACTGCACAAGTAGATGATCGCATGAAGGAGATAGAGAATTACATAAGGCCGAACGCGATCTTGATCACACCCTGGGTTGCATATGATCCTGCTTTGTCCGATTTCCTGTCTTTTTTGCTCCTATTCATGTGTATACAACATATTTTCGATATTCATGCATCCATGTGATATTTATCATAAATATATATTTTCACTATATTCATCATTGATATCACTACTAGAAAACCAGGTATCAGCGACGACTATCAGCGAGGGAATTTTTCCCTCGCAGATCAGC